ACTACCTAATTTTTTATTTTATTTGTCTTTCCAAACCCCCACTTACTTTCCAAACATGTTACCTCTGTTACAGTCTAACAGAATCTAATTGCAGTTGATAATTTTAGAAAAATAGGTTAAAATGTTTATTACAATTTTTCACCTTGTACATGTTTTAAAGGAAAAAAGTGAACATAGAGAAGATGTAGAAAAACATAATAGAAGGGTTTTTAAAAATTATTTTCCTACAGGATGGATCAAATAGAAATCTGCTTTTGAATTAGAATCAATAATCAGAATTAAGCCCTGGCTGGGTAGCTCAGTTGGTTAGTATTGTCCCAATATGCCAAGGTTGTGGGTTTGTTCCCTGGGCAGGGCACATTTAAGAATCAACCAATGAATGCATTAATAAGTGGAACAACAAATCGATGTCTCTCCCCCCCCTAAAATAAATAAAATATAATCAGAATTAACCACAACAGCATGAACAAAGAAGTGTTTTAAGTCTCTATGAACAGCAATTTCTCATGTAAAAATGTAATAATAACATCTTCCTGAAGGGGCAGTCTTCTCCCATTTTCCTGCTTCCTCCTTCCTGGAGACTTGCTTAAGGTTTGCTTCAGTTGGGCTCTTTATGCCCAATTTGCTGATTTTTGGTCACAAGGGGGCACTATTTTCTAACGTAAACATAAAAACTACTACGAAAAGTCCAAAGTTGTAAAAAACCATTTATATTTCTATTCCTCTGTTTCTTCTTTTCCTTTCTTTATCCAATGTTTTGTTGTTTCATTTTTATTTTTAAGAGGTCTGTGATTGATATATTAACTGGTCAATGATAAGAAATATTCTTTGAAAGAATAACTATTTGATAGAATCAACACTATGCTGTTGTAAGTTACTTTAAATGTAATTGTCTTTTATTTCCTAATTAACTTTCTAGTTTTCATTGGAGATAAAAATAGAGCAGAGGTAGGTGTGTGTGTGTGTGTGTGTGTGTGTGTGTGTGTGTGTTTTGCACAAATGTGCATTTTATACAAGGGATCCTTGTTAGGCTTGGATGTCCCATCCAGGTTTCAAGGTCAAATGTAAATTTTGTTCTCTCTCAGGAGCTTCCTCTGTCACCGTGTATCAGAATTAGTTGCTCCCTTCTCTATGTTCAATTCTATTGCACTTGTCACAACTCATTTCTTTCCATCCCATTAGAATGTGAAATACCATATAAATGTTATGAGAGGAGGAACCAACTATTCTCAGTGCCTGGCACACTGCCTGGCCAGTAAAGCGTGCTCCACAGATGCTTCTTGTTCATCTCTGTATCCTTAGTAACCAGCGTGCTGCTGAGACATGGCAGGAGATTAATAAATCCATATTAAATTAGGCAATATTACATTTTGCTAGTTCTTATGATGAAGGTGACATAGTTATGAGATGTGATTTGGGAAAGGATGCTATTAAGACAATGGAAACATTCTCATGATGCTAAGAGAATGGACTCTAGCCTACAGCTAACTCAGCCGTGGGCAAACTACGGCCCGCGGGCTGGATCCAGCCCGTTTGAAATGAATAAAACTATTGAAAAAAAAGACCGTACCCTTTTATGTAATGATGTTTACTTTGAATT